GATAGTCAAACACATTCGCCGTAGAAAATGCAATAGGTTAAATTGGGTAACATGTTTGACCATGGACTCACATATTCATAAGATAAATTTGTTCATAATTAATCTTTCGCTCGAGGGATTATTTTGTATATCGGTGATCAGAATCTTGAACAATCGTAGCTCTATCTTATTGGTTTATCATAGCTTGAGCTTACCGGGAAATTCGCTTTCCAACGTTAAAACTATATCGAATGGGCCACACAAATCAAAAAGTTATCAAGTGAACGTAATATCTCCCTCGACGACTTGACATATCACATAACCAGTTGGCAGCATTTGCTTTTGTGGGAATCATTATTGACAATTAGAATTACTTAAACAAAACGATATAAAAATTTCACTTTATTGTTTATTAGCAACTGTTTTTAATTAGGGTCAGATGCATGCTATAGAACTTTCGCAATAACTGTTTAGAAAGCTTGAATATGAACCTGCCATTTAGCCCTAATCAACCCAATCTGCTCACCGATAATCTGGATTTTAGTAGATTTCCCACCTGCCGAGTTAGTCAAGATTGCTTCCTTAAGTAGGCGAATAGATGTATGAATGTATATTTGACTGGCAAAGAGTCTATAACTCACTTTGTATCCACCTTCCAGCAGTGTGGACAGCGGATGTCCACGTCCAGCTCGCCTTTGATGGCATTTCCAACCTGGCCATTGTTCTTCTGCTGCAAGCAACGTGTACAGGGCCGAGCTACTCGCAGACATTGCTGAAGTGGCAAAAAGTAATTTTCCTTTACATGCTTATACTCTTGACTATGATGAGTATTAAATGAAAATGGTCTAGCTACACATAAACAACTAAAGAGTAAAGATTAAAATTTAATTTCCAAATAATAAGTTCAAAAAGTCGCTTCGCAAGATCACTAATGGGAGCAAAGATAGTCTGCGCTCCCGAAGCTGCTCTCACTGAAGCAAATCATGAAATAGGTAAGCGTTGGAGCAGAGGCAAAACAACTGGTGGGTAGACAAGGCAGCCCAGAGTAATTCAAGGTTATAAAAGTGGAGTTAGCTCTACAATGCTGTGAGTAAACTTAAAGATGCTCCCAAAAAGGCTTTTTCAATCAGAGTCGACTAGAGTCATAGAACAGCTGTGAAATTCAAGACAAGCTAAAATCTTTTGAAATCACATTTAATGGTAGATTTGCCGATAAGGCAACTTGTATTTGCCATTAGAATCGACAATAAAACCTATATTTGATAAAATAGGGCTTGAAGATTATCAGATATGTGTACCTAAAAACTCTAGTCATTCTGGTGATACTCTAAGGCTATGTTAAATCCATTATAATTATTAGCCCTAATAATAGGATTGAAGAGGAAAACTTCACTATCCGTCATCAAATCACCGAACGTGATCAAGAATGAATAAATTTTTATTCAACAATTAATGATAGTTTCGAAGCATTTTCATACTGTTAATGAGGCAATAATGCGATTCATTCGCCTCGGTCGCAATTTTAAGAGACATCAGAAAGCGACTCACTGTGCAGTCCCTTGAATGACGAATCAACTGTTCCGCATAATGCGTTATCTTGCCCTGAAGTCGCCCCTCCAGAATGTCCACAACATCACACATCCGAAGCAGATTCGGATAGCCAAAGAGGTGAGATGGTTCGCGCAGCTAAATTTTAAGGCAAAACAATCAGTATTTTTCGTTTATAAGCAGAGTTTCGAGACTACCAGTAAATTATTTATATAAAATGTATTCACTCTTTTCCTTCTAAGCTAATGAAGGCCTGATAGTTGAATTTTCCCACAATGATGTGATCTAGCATCGGTCCTATCAACACCCCCAGGGGGAGTCGAACCATGACAGTGCATTGTGTAGGCTCGATACGTTAACCACTCCGCCACATTGCCACAGTGCCCTTGAGTCAAGGACAGATGTGAATTTCAAGGAAGGCTAGGCATTTTTCCATATCACCTTCTTTGGCTAGTGTCGATGAAGCAAAATTATATTTGCTTTAACACTCGACTACACTAATTTAATCAGTATTTTTTGTTTCTAAGCGGAGTTTCGAGACTACCAGTAAATCAGTAATATGAGATGTATTCACCCTCTTTCGTTTAAAATGATGAAAGACTGGTAGTTGAATTTTACCACAATGATATGAATAGAGCTGACGCTAAATTTCACATAGCCTTACTCTACTCATATCAATGTGGGAAAATTCAACGGCCAGTCATTCATAATCTTAAACGAAATAAGACGAATACATCTCATAGAGCAAATAAGGGGCAACAATTTAGAGACATCCGCTTGTATGATTCACAATCTTGTTCTTGTATGCTTAAATATTTGGATTAAACATTGGCCGCCTTCAGCCATTAACATGACACTCTCAAAGCCTGATGATGGAGGATGGTAGTTTCATAGTTTGTCAGAGGATCGCTTACGTGGTATTGGCAATGGAAGATATGATTAACCTGATTTGAATATGGTCCATAAGCTGGAGCGCAATCGGTTATCGAATGTCGCTGGCCTCATTTTCATCCATTCCAGGGTCTGTTAACCATTCCTCCTACATCAATCTTCTCTCAGGGCAGAATTAAACCAAGTTTTCCAGATACACTCTCAACCTATTTGTGCTCTGCCAAGTCTATGCTAAGACTTCCTGCTAACCCTCACACCAGGATTGTGTGGTTTAAGTTTGGTGTATTGGCTTGTAAACACGCAGACAATCAGTTAACCTTCCCTGTGCCATGCTGCCAAAGCCATTTCTCCTATACCTGAAGCCAGACCCTACAAATGCAGTCGAATAGCCCAAATTGATGTTCTTCAGGCATGTTCGTTCAAGCCAGCTTTATAAAGCTCAGTCTCTTTACTCAAAGGTTGTACCTCGTAAATTCGACAGTAAAGATACCTTTTTGGACTCGGAAATCTGCTCTGCAAATACACGGCAACACCCCTTTATGATCTCATTTGAAGCTGGTGAAGAAGATGTACTAAAAATAATTAATCCTTCTCTCCACACTGTTCACCCACCTCAGCCTTCTCCTTGATCATTTGTGCCTGATGGCAAACCAGAGTGCAGCGAACTAGACGTAACAGCTGACTGCGTATTGCGTGCAACTCCGTTGCCAGCTGATTGTCACGATGCCAGTAAGTGGGCACTTTGCAGAGGGCCGAATCCCAGAGAACGCGAAGTTTGAGGTAGGCCGATCTAGAGACCTGTGAAAAGCACCATCCGAAAAACAATATTTGGCTTAGAATGTATTGCAATACCGGAAGATATATAGAAATTAAGTAAACTATGGGAGATGGAAAATGTAAGAATACTGGTATTTGAAAGAAGAATATACGTGAATTTCGTTAACTCACTCCGGTTTAACTTATATTTTTTGGAGTTGATAAATATTGGATGATCAATAGGGCATGGAGGCCCTGGAGTATGATAACTAAAGAGAAATAAGTATATTTTCTCGCTCCCATAGTGACACGGCATCTGAGTGTGTCTGACTTGCCTTGCCAAGTGACAAAAGCTAGGCCACCATAGAGGCCCTTTCTCTGTTCTGTTTTTGTACGCTATATATATATATATATATAGCTAGATAGTATAATACGCATATATAATATTTACGGATCAAGCCATAGATTAGATCATTCCCTAGACCTCTGATTATGGAGAATCCCAGACGTAAGAAATGGGTAGCATGCAGAGGAAGAGAATATGAAGAATTTAGTAGCTGACTAGAAGAGCAAGAATTAATAGTCGCCATAGTAATCATAATAAGGGCCAAAGATAAGTTTAGAGACTTAAGGAGATTAGCTTCATGTTCTGCTTAGTCTAGTATTACAATCTGAAGTATACTTTAACCATCTGCATTACCCAGTCTCAAGTTTTGACCATGACAGCCTCATGTGCAGGCTAACTTTAGTCAGCATGAGAAACTGTACTCCACTTCAGCCTGGATAAAAACGCCTTTTGGGAAACAAGGT